TGGCCAAGGCTCATTGATGAACGTGGGGAGTGAAGGCTGGCCCGTGTGGTCCGATCCAACAGACAAGCTACTGTAGCTCAAACTGCTGAAACAGTTAATTCTGATAGAAAGGTGTCAGAACACACAGTGCATCACAGTTTGTTGGTATGGGACTGCGTAGATGCAGACCAGTCAGGGTGCCCAGGTGGTCATAATGTTATGGCTGGCTAATCGGTGTTTATATATCCTTTTTGTATGATTCTTAATAAATAGCTGTTGTCATTGTACATGTTTCTAATATTTCAAACCCCTAAATTGCTCTTTGTTCAGTACTAATCAAAGTGACCTGGAAAGATGGTGCACACATATGCTGTGGCTTTGTTTGTTGCTAATACAATCATACAGTTGTCCACTGTTATGTTGCACTATTGTATATAGTGTATCAAGTCATGTATGTTGTACTGCAACTTTGGGACCAGCAGGTAAGGATGAATTAAACTGGTACTAACCATTGCCAGAGCCTGGGAAAACTCACTATAGTCAATATAACATTTTAATATATATTAGCGTGATGTGTTTGCATAAAATATGGTCAGAAACTACATAACAAGCCATCAGGGTGAGGTTTAGGTACCTTGATAAATTTAACATGATTTGTCTTCCAACCTACCAAAGATAAATAAATTATGGGTAAACAAGACCATACGATGGCCAGAGGCAATAATATCATCACATCTATTCATATCTGAATAAAAAAATAAATAATAAACTATTTCTCACCCATATAATTAACAGTAGAAAGTTCATGTCAATATTAAATAGGAAACTACTGCATATAAAACACAGAAGATATGTAACCACACAGAGGAGAGATGACAAAGCTATTTGACTCTCATTGGTTTTTTTACATAGCTGAAGCTTTGCATTCACATCAACAAAGTCACACATTTGCAATTCTGTGTGACATGTTAAAAGTGTTTGTTATACACATAAGTCTGCAGTGAAGCAGAGTTCAACTGCTGCCTGAGGCATATCTATATAGCTAGAAGCCAGGCTTAGTACTTTTCTACAAAGCTCTGTTTTGTTGGTGTAAAAAAACAGACATCTGGATTTTTCCCTTTTGCTGAAAGTACATCCTGTGTCATAAAAACGTTTTAGGTATCTTGTAAATCATTACAAAACACCCACTGATAGAAGCTAATTTTGACTAACTGGCACTAAGCTGGTATTTGTCCCCAAAGCAGGAGGCGTGGCTCTGACTATGACGCTGGTCAGGTCTACTGTTATTAACATCAACAGCCTTAAGGAACACGTCTGTGTGTGTGTGTGTGAGAAAACTAACTTTTTCCCCTTGGCAACAATGGTTGGTGGTTTCCAAGAATCACCAGAAGCTTTCGTAAAAAAACTATTTTTATTCATTGGCCTTTCTTTGTGTGACAGGTCCTTATGTCCCCGTACATCTCAATTTTACTGTTGGGGTTCAACGCTCTGCCTCTTTTTCCCTCTATTGTAAATCCCAGATTTTCAAAGCACTCTGGTACAAAGAGGCTTATTGTTTTAAACCACTAGACAAAAAAAACTGGATTCGCTTTAACCCTTTTAGCCATAAAATTGATTTCTGCAATGCAAAAGAACACCTAAAAACAGTTATCTAATGTTGCAACAGATTACTGGTACATGTATTAATAAAAAGCATAGCGAGGAAAAATATACAAGCCTTTCCTCTTTCTGTGCTTTCCACTACTTTCATCCTTATCCTTTTGATTTTTAACCAGACTCTCACGTCAAAGATCTCTATCTGTAAGACCCCAGCTTCCTCTGCTTCTCCACATTGCTGCTTGTGATAGTGGTTAATTTAGCGTGTCTGCATGCATGCCTTTGTGTTTGTGTGTGTGTTTGAGCCTGGGAATGTTTAAAGTGCAACCCAATTTAGAAACATGCTTAAGTGCCTAAAATTGTTAGTAATCAGTGATGTCAGCATGGAAACAATGTGTGCTGATGCAGAAGAAGAACAAAACTAAAATCCTAATTCATGTTTGCTTACAGGCTCTTTTCATTTTTCAAGTATTTTGCAGGCAATCAGCCTAAAACATAGGGGAATGAGGGATGTAAAATATTAAAAATATTTCAATGATTTAAAATATACAACTATGTTTTACATCTAATTAACCACTATTCCTGCCGGAATTGTGTGCATTTAATCAGCCTTCTAATAGCATATATAGGAACTTTAATTTCATTTTTTATTCCTTTTACTTTTCACCCCAATGTGAAGCATCTGAATAAGTCATAACATAATATTTTCCACTGTGTGAATTTGTTTTAAAATGATTCAGGCTTTTTTCCTTCCTTTCCTTGGTTTATTTTAAATTGTTGTTCAGTTGTTTGATTTTAACCTGTAATGCAACTCAAAGAAAATAACTGAAATATGTAGATTTTTGTCTTGATCTAAATTTACATTTTAGTCATCCAAAATATTGTATTTCCTCCCACTCAGGTGAAGCCTATCTACCGTATCTATGGTGCTTTTGAATAATTATAAAGCTGTATCTTCCTCGATATCATGTGTGACTAGGGTACAGGCCGAATCATCTGAACTCAAACATCTGCCCCCTCACATTCCACCTAAGTTGGGGACAACAAGGGCAGGGGCGACCGAAACATCCAAGGCTGGGCCAGCAAATGGGCCTTTTAAAGGGAGGCTCCGGATTTGTGTTATTCAGAGTGTATGTGACAGTGAAACAGCACTCATTAATTCATAAACAGCAGGCCACGAATAGAGCTGCAATCTTGTGTGAAAACCACTGGGGAGGAAGGTGGGGAGGGGGAGGAGGATGTGGGGCACAGAGGGCAGGTTGTCTAACTGCTGCAACTTTCCCGTCATTATTCTGATTCGACAGTTCAGAAGCCAATGAAAACCAAGCACATGAAGCGCCTGGTTACAAGGGCAGAAATGTATTCCTGGAACTCATGCTGTCTCTCTGGAGCCCCACACCTAACCTTAAAAAAGAGGCACACAAGAAACACATTTTTGCCAAGATGTAAACTTGGCAACCTGAGGGACAGACTCTGTAAAAGGCTGATTTCAATGTTTGGATGCGTCACCCTAAATATAATTTAACCACCTGCTCAGGGCAAATCTATGTGAAGACAACATTCCAAAACCTTCAGCTTATGTCTCTCACGGTGGATTTTGAGGTATGTTTAGGATCATTATTCTGTTATAGAAGCCATCTTCTTACATTATTTTGTTGTAGAAGGTTTTCTCCGTTTTTTTTTTTAACAGATGGTGTGAGGTTTGCCTCCATAATTTGCTCGTACAGAGTGTAAGCCATGTTTCCTCCACCCATGCAATCCTTCTTGTGACACTGGCTGCAACACAATCCCAAAGCATGATAGACCCACCCCCGTGCTTAACAGTTGGCAACGTGTTCTTTTCAAGAAATGCTGTTCCTTTTTGACTCCAAACATACTTTTGCTGATTGCGGCTAAAGAGTTCTATTTTAACTTCATCAGGCCACAGCACAGCAGTAGATTTATTTTTTATTTTATCTGATTATTATTATAAAAAAAATTTTGTTTAGTTTCTGACATATGCATTCATGTCCTATATCCCAGTGAGGCTGTGATTACACCTTTTAAATAAAACAATATATTTTTGTTAACTTTTACATACAACTATATTCTGTGTTTTTATGCATTTATGCAAACCTTTACTTTATCTATAAAAATGATATAAACTCTTAAGGGCTTAAAGTATTGCAAGCATGACACTGCTTTTTATCTTTCCAACACCCCTCCAACACTACTTCCTACTTCTAAGAGGCAGGAAAATATAGACCTGAAGAATGATTTTAAATAAAGTCCCTTTTACCTTGTGATTCTATCACTCAACGATCATGTGGAAGGACATAGAAACTAAGGCTATGGAGGCATTTTTACTACAACAATGCATGTACATGTGAATAAATGTGTTATTACCTTATCACAGTGCAACTCAACATTGAGATCTCCCTTGTTTGTGTGAAGACGAACGTAGCCTTTTTTCTTCACATACTGGTAGCGCACGGTGTCATCTGCGATGGCATCTATAGCATAAAAATACAAATTTAGTTATTTTAATGTGTCTTTGTAGATTATGACCGGCAAATCAGGCTTCTTATTTCTAAAAACAATCTTAACATTTTATTGAATGTTTATGAGTCTCTGCTTGACGTTGCTGAAGTAAGATCTGACCTTTAAAACGCCTCAGAGTATCTGCAGTGCAGGCGGTTATTCAGATTTATGAAAGTGTCATTCTCTTATGAACATTATTAAATTACTGTTTTACTAGCTAAAATAGGTCACTCAAAGAAAAAAAAAATACAAAATCTGCTAAAAATGTAAATAGGAACATAAAATAAAAATCCTTTCCAACATTCAACTCTACAGCACACAAACCTTGATAGGTCTATGTATACACTGTGAAGACAACACACCTCAGTATTCTATACAACTTAGACTGAGGCACACATCCATACAAATATATGGCATGCCATCCTTTTCCAGAAACCTGAACTAGGTCACCAAATCCAAACATTGTCCTCCTCTTCTGAAGTGTACTGAAGCTACTATAAAGTTGCATAACCGCATAACTGTCCCATGGAGCAGCTCAGAGGCTGACAGGAGAAGAAAACACAGTCGAACTGAGCAGCTCTCACTTGCAGCTACATTCAGCTGTGCGAGCATGAAGCTGAACTTTGACGCAAAATACCAGGCATGACTAGCCAGTCTTCCCTGGATAAACAAAGATTAAAGCAACAAAAGACAGAAGAGGTGAATGTTTCTGTCTGCTGGGAATCTACAGAGGGCTTTTTTGTGCGAGATGTTCACTTGCCTGCTTCGTGTGTTGTTGCAGGAGTCATAGCTGTGGACGTGAAGGAGGCGGAAACTCGGCCTGTGGAGTAGTGGGCCTGGGGACGAAAAGAAAGATTTTATTTATTTAAGTTTTTTAGCTTTACAGTATTTTTCCTGTTAATGTATATTTGTATGATGTTGGTTAACTTGTTGTCTTCAAAAACCACTAAATATATTTTACTTTAAACAGAGATAGAAAGGAGTTCTGAATGGCAGAAATCTTAGCATCAACCAAACACCGAACACTATTTAATCAATTAGTTGAAGAAAAGAAAATGAATCTGTAATAATCATATAATCGTGTAGGTCAACACAGACTTAATTCTAGCTTGATTCCAGTGAGGATTTGTTGCTTTTCTTACTTTTATATCAATATAATTGAATATCTTTGGATTTTGGACTACAATTTGAAGAGCCCTTATTTGTATAGTTATCCCTGTTGTGAAATATTCCACTAGGAATCAGGATCAGCTAAACACGCTGAGCATATTTTCTGCTCAGAGGCACTTCAACAGGGCAGACCACTTTCTCATTAGAAAGAGCTTGAAGCTTCACCCTCCAGTTGAAGAATAATCTTTCCCACTCAACCACACCTCTTTCCAGTCACATACTTGGCTGGTCCCCTCGTTTGCGCTAAGTGGTGCATGAAGTGATGCAAACTAGCTTAATGACAGCCTGTGCAGCTTCTGAATGATTAAGAGCACAGCCCCCTTAGCTTGGGGAGATTTCCACCATCTCATAATTAAAGAGGCTCTGGAGATGCTTTTAGGTTCTCTGAGCTTAAATTATAGTAGAATAAAATTGCTGAATATCTGGATATCCAAAAATACCACAAACAACGCAGTGGGATTGAAGGAGTTATTTAAGTCAACAGAAGAACAGCTCAGGGAGATGAAAGCGAAGAAGTGAAAATGGATTTCAAAAACTCAATTCTACTCCACAGTCCTGGTTTAGCATTCTTCTGCTCTAGTTCTTGTGAAGGCGCATGAAAGCACAGGCTTCACCTTGTGTGCTCCGTCTGACCTATATTCCCTGTTCCCTCAGATGCTGTCAGAGCTTTACCTCGACTGTGAACTCGAGGCCTAGAGCAACCAAGGAAAAGATCTGGCATAAAAACAAGACATGGCGTAGCATCAAAGGAGAGCTGATAAGAAAAGAGGAGTTGATGCCGTTCAAATTGAATCAGACATCATCCCCGTGGTTATTCAAGGACAAAGTCGCAGTGGTGACCATGGTTGACCCTTTTTGTTACACATCTGCGTGTTTGATCCCCCTACACTTAATAGACTTATAGTGGCTGAGAGTAGGTCTGTGTGAAGGTTATGGTGAGTATCCAGAGGGAATTTTAAAATAAAGAATATAAACCTGTTGTATATCTAAAAAGGGCTTTGTACCAATCCTATGTCTCACTCAGACTAATGTTTCAGACACTGACATGTTATTACTGTCACAGCACTGTAAACATTCTTTGTTCTGTTCCTGGGTGCAGTTGTTTGTCTTGTTGCCCACAATACGGTTAATGTATTACTGTGTGTTTGGCCCCCTCCTGTGTACAAAAGTAGAAATTACACTTCTTCACCACATTAACGCTCTGTTGAAAGGCTGCAGCAACACAACTCAAGAACTGATTAATAATCTTATAAATGATAAAAATAAATACAATTATTGATAGAAAAAGGTGTCTACAATTGCAGTTTTCTGATTACACACCTATGAAGCTTGGGCACTGTGTGGTGTGACTGAAAGCTCCAGAAAAAGCCAGTAAGTGGACCTTGAGTACTTAAACTAGCATGTAATCTCCATGATAAACAAGCAAACAAAAGACCATGTGACATGGCTGAAAGCACTGGGAAAAGTCAGCAAGTTGATGTAATTTGATGCTTTACTGATTTTGGTAGAAAATGTCCCCTTTTAGTTGCCCTCTTCCAGGAGGTCAGAGGTCAGCCTCCCTTGTGAGGGCCTGAACCTGGTTCTTAAGTCTTAAGGGGTGGCTGTGGCGCAGAGGCAGACCAGGTCATCCACTAATCGGAAGGTTGTTGGTTCGATCCCCGGCTCCTCCCGCCACATGTCGAAGTGTCCTTGAGCAAGATACTGAACCCCGAATTGCTCCCTGT